CCGGATTACGCGTGGGAATATTGTAATAGAACAGAAGGCAGCCGAAAAGGGGGCGGTATTGGGGCATTCATTCATAAAAGTACAGACTGGCAAAGGGTCAAGCAGGAGTGAAAGGAACATTTATGGCTAAAAGGGAAAGTGGCAGGTCAAATCACACTCCTTGGTTTCGTGTACTTGTGGACGAGAGCAAAGGCCAGAGACGAAAACCAGGCAATGGTAGAGTGTATATCAAAGGACATTCAGGAGTTAGGAAGAGAGTGCGAGATAATTATACTAGGAGACATGAATGCGCACATAGAAGATATAGATTGGTATACCTACCCGACAGGCAAAATGATCATGGATATGTGTGAAAGGCTTGATTTGATCATTTGCAACAGTACCGAGAAGTGGGAAGGGCAAATAACATGGGAGTTAGGAAGGCTGCAGTCGACGATAGATTATGCACTCATGTCACATAGAATGTATGATAAGCTCAGGGGCATGCACATAGATGAAGGTGGCTCCAGAAGTCAGGGTAGTGATCACAAACGTATCAAGTTAGGTTTTGGAAGAGCAGTGAAAGTGGGAAGGAGACAAGATGAGCAACTACAGGAAAATTTTTATCAAGAAAGGCAAATTGAAATATCCACTAAACAAATTCAGAAAGTAATCACGGAGGATGATAAGGCAGTGTGGACATACACGAATATAATTAGACTGAGCTAGAGCTTGCTAAGACGCGTGACAAGTCACCCCGGAAAAGAAGACACAAACCCAAAAGTTGGTGGGATGAGGAAGTTAAGAGAGCCATAGCAAAACGTCAGGAAGCCTCTAGGGAACACAGACATGCTAAGCAGCGGGGTGAACCAACAGATGACGTTGAAAGAAAATCGGAAACATTTCTGAGCAGTAGGAGGGATGCATCCCTTCTGATCAATGAAAAGATTAGAAGAAAGGGAGCTCAGTGGCTGGCAGAAGTACATAAAAAAACGCAGCTGCGAAGTTTTGGAACCATCTAAACTCACTAAGAAATGAGACGAGCCTAAAGAGTTTTATAACTACAGCCCAAGGTGTTAGGCTAGAAGGGGACGAAGCTATTGAATATATAAAACAAGGGTAACAAAAAAATTTCAAAAAAGAAGTACTGTATGCACCACTATAGGCAAGGACGATTCAAGTGGTGCAATGGCTCCATTTTCACAACGAGAGTGGAAAATGGCTGAGAAAAGGGTTCCTAGTAGTACATCAACAGGCCCAGATGGCATTCCAATTATGCTGATAAAGACATTAGGTCCGAAGTCTAAGCAGGCTTTGAGAGAGGCAGTGAGCAAAATCATAGTCGATGGTGAAGTTCCAGAAGGATGGAAACTTAGCAGGATGAGCATGATCTATAAAGGAAAGGGAGAAAAAGCTGACATAAACAACTACCGTCCTATAACAGTGACATCAGTGGTCTACAGGCTGGCGATGCAGATTATAAAGGAAAGACTGCAGGCATGGATAGAGGATGAGGGGGTGCTGAGGTAACAGCAGAATGGGTTTCGGAAATACAGGAGGTTGGAAACAATCTGTTCTCACTGACGCAGTGCATCGAAATAGCAGAAAACGAACACAGGCCCCTGTGGCTAGCATTCTTGGATATCAAGGGAGCGTATGATAGCGTGGTTCAAGAGGAATTGTGGGGAATAGTGGACACACTAGGCGTGGAACATGTAGTCCATAATCTTCTAAAGGGTATCTATAAAGGTAACAAGGTAGTTATAAAGTGGGAAAAACAGGTATCCAAGCCTGCAGAGGTAAAACTGGGGCTTACGTAGGGGTTCTCCCTGTCACCCTTATTATTCATGATGTACCTACTAGGATTAGAGGCAAAATTTGAAGGAAGTGGGCTGGGCTTCAACCTCTCTTTAGTCAAACAAGGAAAACTTATTGATCAGGCACTACCAGCATTAATGTACGCAGATGATATAGTGCTAATGGCCAACAACAAGGAAGATTTGCAGAGATTGATGGACATCTGCGGTAATGAGGGAGATAGGTTAGATTTTAGATTCAGTAAGGAAAAATCAGCAGTCATGATTTTCAATGACAACGAAGGTAGTGAGCTAGATACAGGGGGTCATGCTTAAGATAACAGACAAATACAATTATCTGGGCGTATGGATACGCAATGGGACCGAGTACCTGAGGGAACACGAAATATACGTGACGAATAAAGGTAACAGGAATGCAGCAGTGATGAAAAATAGGGCACTGTTGAATTACACTCGGTATGATGTTGTGAGAGGAATATGGAAAGGGGTCATGGTTCCTCGGCTGACGTTTGGCATTGCGGTCTTGTGCATGAGATCTCGAAGTTCAAGCAAGATTAGACATTAAGAAACGTGGAATAGGTAGGCTTGCTTTAGGTGCTCCCAGGAATACACCAAATCAGGGAGTACAAGTTGATATGGGATGGACATCATTTGAGGGCAGGGAAGCTAGCAGCGAGATAAAATTTGAGAAGCGACTGAGAGAAATGGGGGGAGCGTTGGGCTAGGAAGGTTTTCAGCTACTTGTACGTGAAGAATGTCAATAAAAAATGGAGGAAGCGAACCAGGAAATGGACTGGTAAATATTTAGAAAACAGCTGCTGGCCAAACCAGAAGAACCATTGGTTAAGAAGAAAGTGAAGAAAGCGGAGACTGACATATTGAGAATGGGCATGATTAAGAAGTCCGCACTAGAGATCTATCGAACATTTAGGCAGGAAATTGCGAAGGAAAGGATCTATGATAATACTCGGGGTAGTTCTCTACTTTTTGAGGCCAGGACGGGAGTACTGCGAACCAAGACATAACGGGCCAAATACGAAGGGGTAGACACAGTATGCAGTGCGTGTGGAGAGGAAGAAGAAACTGCCGAACACTTGATAATGTTCTGTAAAGGGCTTCACCTATAGTTCAAGATGATGGCGCAGAGTTTTTCAAAGCACTGGGGTTTAGGGACCGCGAGGGCAAAATAGTCTTTAAGCACGTAGACCTAACGGGAAGGAGGTTATCTGATTGGTGGCTAAAGTCAAAGCACGAGTGAAGATCAAACTTTTCACTGCAAAGTACGAATCCTCAATCTCACTTTTTAAAGAAAAAAATAAATATAATTTTTGGTTCACTGAGTATTACGGCTTGGTAACGCTTGCCACCACCCGGTCTAAAGGGTACAGCCATATCCATTCATCCATCCATCCATCCATCCATCCATCCATCCATCCATCCATCCATCCATCCATCCATTCATCCATCCATCCATCCATCCATCCATCCATCCATCCATCCATCCATCCATCCATCCATCCGATGAAAAGATGCAAGATGTCATAAACTAGACGGTGGTACTTGTTGTTGATGATGAAAGATGCCAGATGTTATAAAATACGGATGATGTCACTTATGGGGCGTGTAATTCATGAAAGGCAATCGTTCGATTTAGTGCGGTGACGTACGCTAGGAGAAGCATTGCAATAAAATCGAGTGGTGAAAATGTACGGAGGATTCTTAGATTACCAGGTTTAGCTGCGGAGCTTCGCCCGCTCTTCATCATTCACTTCGTGAATCTGGCGGCACTTTTTCGCCAGGAATACAGCATGTTACCATTGTTGGCTCATTTATGGAGTTGTCCCTGGCCTATTAATGTGGAATGTTGAAACTGATGCGCACGTGCTCGGTGGCACGGTTGCAATTGCATGATTGACGTCACTCACAACGCAGCCAACGGCGCGCTTGCTGGGCTACGACGCTGAGGATGACGTGGATAGCACAGCCAATGGATACCGCTCGTGACACCCCTGCCCAACAATTTTCGTTTCTTCTACACACATACATATTTAGCTGTATTACTTAGTCCGTTGTAGTCCGAGACAGTATGTTTATAACAACTTTTCGTAAGTCTGAGTCTGAGCTATGCCTGTGCAAAGAGAAAAAAAATTGTGGATCCTAAAGCTTTGCCTCTAGGAGTTGAACGCGATAGCGACATCGTGTTCTCTGTGCGTACTTGAGAGACTTGGTGCTTGAAACCTTTTCGATTTTGCTAAGCACCCTTACGTGGCCTTACGGGTACCGGCACAGTAGCGTGTGTGCCTTTTGTAGTGGCATACCGGCTTTCAACCACAGAGCCAATATGATTATCACATATTCCGACGTCCGTTGGCATTGTAAGTTTGTACCACGTATTATTACTGCAACACTTCCGGTTGCGTTGTGAAGCATGTATAATCGACGCGTGTGTTTGTGAAGCATGAAAGCTGCTTTCAATGAATTTCCAGAAAGAGGAAGTTTTTTTCACTGTTTTCCCAAGCAGAGGCATGACCGTGTGATTCAACCTCCACTTGCCTCACAAAAGACCCGGGTTCGACCCCCACTTGAGCCCAAACAAGCCTGGTTCGTTTCCCACACTGCTTCAAAATGTTTCTCATTTTATTTATCTGGTTTGCATCGACCTATATTTTTCGGTCACGCATATCATGATGAGTATTCGCTTACAACCGCCAACGCTGGATTTTCAGCGAAAGGAGCTCTTTCATTCTATTGCGTTGAAATATGTTTTTTGACAAAGCCTGAGTGAGCTCCAATTTCTTTCTGAATTTTTATACTCGCATCACTCCTCTCAACTATGATTTTGAATTTTCATTGTTAGTAAAAATATACAATACAAGGTTATGCTATGCTTCTTCCGTATGCTATTGTTGTTTATTCTTTTTGAATTTCAAATAATTCCTACTCACACTTACCACACTTTGCCACCGCTTGCGATGCTATACTCTACAATGCTATGGAAAGATTTATCCCTTTCTCTCTCTAAGCTTGTATTCTGCCTGCCTAACACCATGCTACGGCATCAAAAACAAAACAACAGTCCGAGCTTCTAAAAAGCAACAAATATAAAAGAATGAAAGAAATCGGACAAAATTAGGGCCATGCTTGTGCGATAAATTAGTGAGTTTTTTGTATCTAAGACTTGGTCATGGATTGCTTCCCCAGAAGTATCAAAACTTGCAAATTTATTTTGTGTCGCGTATCTGCATCAGCACAGGCTACTGAATTGTATAGAGTGCTTATGAATCAAGGCAGCTTGGCTTAAAAACCGGGTAGTTCCAAGGACCACATGTGTCAAAAAACACTTTGTTACACTCGTGCCTCTTCGATATCATCGACTCCCAGGTGTATTGTTCACATTCGCCATCTGCGAAAAAAAAGATGAAATTATGGTGGTATGGTACAGTGAACCCCCTCCCCACCCCCCCCCCCAAAAAACGAACTTACAATAACTTACAAGTTGGCTCTTAAATATTGACCGTACTCTAAGGAACGAACCTGTTCAAGCCCGACGTCGAGCGGCTGCTTCAAGTGATTTAAATGCCGCGCTGAAGTTCGCCACACGCCCTCTGACGTAAGCAGTATGCGCACGTAAATAGTTATTTTTCTCAAATATCCTTTTTTTTGTGTATTTTCAACAACTAAGTACCTTTTCTCAAAAAGTATTGATTTGATTTCGATGACATTTTATATGCATGAGCTACAAGAAGATAGAAATAATCTGAACTATAAAATAGCTGATTTTATAAAAAGTGCAGCAGTAACAAAAGTACACTACAGTAGGTACACTCCGTGGCGTTGTGAAAGCAATATTTTCATTTTTTACAAAGACCTAATGACAAAGTAATATATCTTGTTCCCATGTAACCTAGTAGTCCCTACAACAACATGGCAGATCATGATTACATCCCTCACGGCAGTTGCAGAAAAAAGGTACATTGAATAAGTGAAGCCCTTTTAAAATTCGCGGCTGGGCCATATAAAAAATAAGCAACCTAGGAAAAAAAGATGTCACTTGATACCTACTCCAAATTGTGTAAGCACGTAAAATGTTTTAGGAATACTTGCAGCCGTTTTCTAAAGTAATACGCTAAAGCTGACATATTTCGTTCGCCCTACCATGCCCCGTTAGACTTGGCTTTGTAAACTTACACCAGGGCTATATATATTATACGTTCTATGGTTTCATTGCAACGTTCCCTAACGACCTTAAGGGTGCTTGTTGTTTGCTGCGAAAGTTGTCGACAAGTAGATAACGAGCTATTGATATAAAAGCCGGCCGCTCGCTTGGCTGGAAATATGAATTGGTTGACCGTTGATAAAGCTTTGTTTTTATACAGAATGAGTGTAGACGCCAAAATCTTCTATGATATATTTTTACTTTTTTTACGGCCAGGATTGCACCTATTCAGCCCAACACAATGACTACCATACATTCGCTCGCGTGTTTCGTCAATGATCCATAGATAATATTACGTGAAATACATGGCACGTTTGACTACTTTCGAAATTCTCACGAAGTGGTCGGTAGCATTCGGGTGGCGTGTGAATTGAGTGTGATGCCGTGGCAGTATCGCAATGAGTATTAAAGCGCTCACGCCGAGAAAAGTTGCAGTGGTTGGTACATTCTCGCTCCGCTTATGGTGCATTCATACTATCGACGGAATGCAGACTTGTCGTGGACGCGGATCCACGAATGATCCGCCTGCAGACGCATTGGCACCATGGGCAGGGTCTTTGATAGAACAGCCAGATTTTTCTGTGGTTCCCTGCACCCGCTATCAGCAGACCGGTTTGACAGATTCAACAACATGACTGCAAGCAGAACGTGATGCTTTGCTAATGTCGAGCATTGGGAACGCTTTCAGTTTGTTTAGGTTAAGAAGCCGCTGTTGGCGCAATATCTGGATGGCAAGGAAAGGCCGCTATACAGAGAGGAACTGAATGTGAACTTCGCTACCGTCGTGCTTGAGGCACCAGATAAGAAGGAAGGGCACAGTGATGCACGAGCCGAGAATGGCTTTTTTTTTTCTATCGACCTGTCGTGGGTAACGCACACATACAGCAACCATTGCACTGATGCACATGAGGTTTCTTTTGTTGGTTTTCACTTATACGTTGAAATCAGTGTTCAGACATGGGCCGGGTTTCGAGACTACCACTTTCAGCGGCAGCGCCACTTTGCCGGCCGCAAAATCCTGCGTCTGCATGCAATGATTAAAGCGGCAACTTACTCGCTACTTTAAATACTGCCGAGCTGCGTGCTTTACCAGCGATAGATATCACAAAGGTTGTCATAGGTAAATAGGGCCCCAGAAGTGAAGTAGCCACAGTCTATATCATCGGTGAGGATAGCTATACGGCTAGAGCTGAAGAAAAGTTGAACGGTAGCCAGCGTATTTGGCCGCTAAGGCTATGGCGTACCGCCACCATAATGCCGATGTGAAAAACTGGTTAGGCCAAGCCAACCGCAAGTCACGCGGACGAAGCGTTGTTTAACAGAATCGACGATATGAGTTCATGTGACAGTCGTTCATCCCTCCGAATCCAGATGCGATGTGTCACGTGAATGTACCAGAAGCACCACCAATCTCCCGAAACGCCTTTCTTCAACAAAATTACGTCGTCGGACTAATCTGACCATGGGCCGAACGCAGGCAAATGACAATGATAATTCATTTCCCTTAAAGAGAATAGTCTTTCTTGCAATACCTAGAATTTTCATATCTGTCTGTCACAAGCCTCCCGGCAAAGGTTTAACCCGAATCTCAAAGCCAACACATCTTGATCTGGTGGCTTCATTTATACGTATGAACGTCCTCAACCAAAAAGAAATAACACACATGCTTAAGGCCCCAAATCAATATATATGCAAGAAGTAGTCAGTGTATACATTTATTTAGAAAATGCATATATAGGTATTTAAGGATCAAAGCACTGATTACACTGCTCTGACAATGCGACTCTATGAATGAAAAGCGGGCGGTTCTTACGGTCCGCTAAAAAGTCAGGCGCTTCAACAAAATGAAACTGGTACTGTCACTCACAAATGGTTCAGTGTTCTAAAAAAGTCGTTTTTTTTCACAATATTGCCAAATGGCGATATCTCACGCATTGTCTTCAATCAGAATACAATAGTTCTCTGACGTCCTTTGCAGCGAAGTGCGTTGATACGTGGCCAATTTTAGCAACTGCATCTTTTTGGATGATCTAGGCGGTAGACAAATACGGCGTTACTTGCTTAACACCCAGTCTTTCAAACGGTTGACGGATTTCATACTTGAGAACATCTAGACCAGTCTGTGTTCTGTCGGCGTGAACCGGGAAATAATACTAGGAGCGTCGCGCTGTTCCGGTGCGGCTGTCATGACGCTCATTGTTTTAAATAAGAGGAAACGAAATCTCAGGCAATCACCTACGGATCGCTTCAAGACACTAAGTGAATGATAAGAAAAAGCCTCTCGCGTGCTAATGGGACTGGCCGTGTCCTGAAAAGACGCTGCAATATATGTGAACGACACTTCTTCTGAGTGTCTAGCAACTGGTCGAATGCTCCATGATGAGAACAGCGTCGACTGGTTGCACATGAAGACGGAGATGCTTGGTCTTTAGTTTGTGGCGGAAATGAAAGTATAGTACTGCTACTACTATGACATTGAAGTGCTATTTGCCATCTCAGCATGGTGACATTTATGGCGCGTCAATGCCTCGAAACGACGTTATGAATATGATGGATGCCGTAATAGATCGGGCTAGAAATTTCGACCATTTGACGTTCTTGAGCGTGCACCTAAATTTAAGCCCGCGGTCCTCAGCCGTTCTCGGCTCTTTTGAAAATGCGGCCACCACGGCCGACATATGATACAACAGCTTTCCAGTCACCAGTTGAAAACCTCAACCCCTATACCACCGTCAGGTTGCCATTCCAGCATGACTGCTCGAGTAGAGTGACGGTGTCGATGACACGTGCCCGATCGTTTTCTTTTACATAAAATATTATTAACCTCTTCGAGTCGGCCCAGTGTGCTCTAAAATGTTTTAATACGTTCCAGAAGTAGCAGTTGCATGCTCTCAAGGTTTCTGCGTTAATTTAATATGTTTAAACGGCGGTATTCTTATTGCAGGAGGAAAAAAACAGGTGGACTATTGTTCCTAGGTACGAGATTAAGGACTAGGCATGAGAATATTATGATACATGTCAATATACAAGGGCTGAACGCATGCACTGAGCAAGAAACACTTATCAAGAACCGTCCCCGCGTTGTGTAATTCATTAGATCAATGTGAGCTCTACCGAGGATATACAGTATGACATCAATTATTAGTAAAACAAACAACGTCATGTGACGCTTACCTTGGTTTAATAATATGAAGCATTTCTCAGACTCTAACCAGTAAGGGAGCAGGTAAACTTTCGCTTGTTCTTCTATAAAAGAGATCATACATCATGCGCTTGAACAAAATAAACAGAAACAGAAGCATATAAATAGGGTAAAAGATTCTTTGTGGCACACAGCGAGTATAGATGACCTCATAAAAACATTTCCCCTCGTAACTCTGTTATCCATTTCTTTACTATACCACAGAGGTCCACGTATGAAACTTTAGAAAACGCTGTCAAAAACGTTACAAAATTCATTATCTTCAAAACCACGGAATGTATCCTTGTAGTTAAAAAAATTATTCAAACTACAATGAGCCACCAGTGGTATACACACCAGTTATGCTTCAAAGTATTCTACCGTATCCGACAGGCTATATGCTCGACAAGAATGTGCAAGCTGATTTCTATCCCCACAAGAGCTGAATTACCTTCTCCACAAAAGCTTGTTAAACGTTGAAGAATGTGTGTTGAAGTGAAGGGAAGCGCTACAAGAGAAATGTGTATTTAGAGCATTTCATATTATTTTCGATTATCATCGTGCAAAAAAATATGCACTAGTTGTTTGAAGTACGCACTAAGGACAAGACATTGCTACCACGTTAGACGCTCTAAGGCGAACATGAAAGGTCAACCAATTTTTCGCAGTAGTGAATCGTCATCCCAGAGAGGGCAAGCGGGTTAGGGGGAGACAGAAGGTTAGGTGGGCAGATGCGATGAAGAAGTTTGCGGGTATAAATTGGCAGCAGAAAGCACAGGACGGCGTTAACTGGCGGAACATGGGAGAGGCCTTTGTTCTGCAGTGGACGTAGTCAGGCTGATGATGATGCTGATAATGAAGATGATGATGAATCATTGCCTGTTGAACTGATAGTCATCGCCTTCGTATGTTCGCGTATGGGTGCTTCATCGCAGGGCCCGTGGCTGTCGTTCACTCCGATGCTAGCGGCCAAATTGATGTTGGTAAATCCGAGACGTAATACGCGGTGGAAGTGGATTTACGATTCCTTGTCCTCTCACAAACCCGTATATTTGCTAGAGCTCCGTTGGGGCCACCGCTTGCACCCACTGTCCTTCAAAAAGTTGTAAGGTGAGTGGGCCAATACCAATACCGATCCCATCAGCTCACCGGCAATCTCGCCTCTTTATGTCAATAACCAACATCATGACCCTCCGCATTTCGTTGGTGTCTGCGAAAAGGCTGTGGAGGACTAGCGTGAAAACTACCTGCGAGTAAGGGCTACTAATTTAAAGGACGACCCTCACAAGCTTTCTCACCCCACCATCTATCTCACGGAGGAAGCCGTGACATCATTCCTTAACCATGGCATTGAGCTCACCGGTGGTCCTGGATTCAAGCAGCTGCTTTGCCAAGTGTTCCTCACATCTTATATTCAATCCGTTCTGCCGAAGAGGATCCTCGATGGTCACACATAACATCGTGGCGAGGCATAAACTTAGTACATCGAGGATGTTCTTGCTAGCGTGTGAATTATTTGATGAGCCACACAGAGAAACTACGCCACATGCTAAATGACGTCGGTACCATTGCCTCCGATGGCCTCACTGTTCAGAATAGCTCGAATACAGCTGATGTCGTCATCAGGTGTTAGCACATCGATTACTTTTACTTCGTTAGCTTACAATCGAGCACCGGTGAACACCGTTCTACGGCGGACTGGAACCTACGTGAATTCATTAAAAAGACTTTACCGGAGAAACTGAAGCCATTGGTCTTCTGGGCACCTCCCCTAATTTCGTACATTCTGCAGGTATATTTAGCCAGATATAATCATGAAAATTTAACGTTCCAGGAAATTTTTGGTTGAACACTTTATAGGCGGGAAAAAAATTCTTTTCTTGGTTGTTTTTTACGCACAAGCGCTTTTCCGCTATACCCTGGGATATGAATTTCGGATGCTTCTTTCAATAAACTGAGTTGTGAGTACCTTGTGGTCTTCTCGGCTTTCGCTTTTCTATGTACTGTGTGCGTGCCTAAATATTTCCCTGAATGCTCTCAAACGAACTCGTCCGACTTTTCATGCTATTACAGGAACTAACGTCCTTGATCGGCCTAACGCAAGTACAACCACCCGACAAGACTGCCATTGTATTCCGGCATTCTCTGTATTTATCAGACTAGATGGCCATTTTATTAGCCTGTTTGTATCAAAAAATAAACAGGTTTAAGACAGCGCTGGTCCTGTCTATGAGCCTCTTCGTAGCTCTGTGTAAACATGATCTTGGTGCATGACGATTGAATCCGGATATGCACCCACTAGTCGAACAGCTCGCACTACTGAAAGCAAACTCGCAAAGGGAAATGAAGAACTGTGCGCAAACTGTCGGCCCAGTTTCAGCCTACTGCCGCGTAATCGCCACCATGCACCCGATGAGGTTCTCTTTTTCTTTCTTACCTTCCTCCTCGTGGCCTCTGATTATCATCACTGGATAAGGAACCTCGTCTAAGTATCCCATCTTCGCAAGTTTATGTGTCTTTCCTCTGAAAATAAATACACAAATTTTTTATGGTTTAGCACAACTACACCTTTACACAAGCAAAACATTTACAGTTCTGCTAAAACATAAAATAACAGCTGAGGCCACAAAGTATTAATTAGAGCTCTCCAAGGCACACACGAATTGCTTACGATCCGTCGACCAGGTGTCTTAGCCCAGCTGCGAGAGGGATGCTTGATGAGAGGGAGAGCATGGGTAAGCTTAAGTTGGAGAGAAAGTAGCGAAGTATAGTCAGTTTAATTTAGTTCAGAAGGCATATCGACGTGCAGACAACGAAGCGGAGTAGAGAGAACGAAAGCAAAATTGAAGCTATCGTAGGAGCTGAGGAAGTGGTGTAGAAAAAAGGGCCACCTGATAACTTTTCTGTATACACTGACGGCCTTGTAATTGTTCCGGAACGCATGGTAGACAGTAAGATAAACCCATGCCAATAGTTCTTCGATGAAATCAAGATTAGTAATTCCAAGTCAGTTCAAGCTGCGAATACCTTTATTTACTTCAGCGTAACTTACCTAATGACAAGAGTAGTTAGTTAAGGAACACTTATAGAACAAACAAAAATTTTCAACACTGCATAATTATAATACCCTAACAAAGAACCGAAAAAGGGGGATTAGACATGACTCAATGAGGGCTCGCAATTATTTCAAAGTGAAGACATTCTTTCAAAGTGAAGACAATAAAGAGCGTCTATCAAGGCCCATTCACGCTAGTGGCAAGCCTGCCTCACCGTTTGACGTCTGACGTTCGCAAGCCGCCATCTGCCGGCTGTTTCCTCCGCGCACGTCCGGCGTTCTTCGCACTTGTGTTCGTTTACCTCGGTCTTCATTACAGACATCTATCTTTTTGTTTGAGCAGCATGTTTAAGTGTCGAGCTGTTATAGATTTTGGTCCGCGCGCGTATGACGTACGCTCATTTCGTGCGTGCTTTCATTTTGAGGACTGTGCAGCAAGTTACTAGCTTCTTGCCGTTCTTTGTGGGACACTGCCATTTGGTGCTGAAGCATTCATTACTTCTTTCTTGTGGGAAAAAAGAAATGCACAGCGAATACTCAACTACATCTGTGTGAAACCGTTTCACTTTCGCGTTGTTCTGATTCACAAATAAAGTATCAGCCACGTTTTTTTTTTTTGATGTGGGTGACAAAGGTGAGAATTATGCCGCAAGCGTTTGTAATGGGTTGGAGCATTCAGTGACACAGTCGTTACACAATATGCATTTTCTAACGCCTGGTTGTTGCTTTGTTTTTCGGAAACAGTTAATTTTTTACAGCAATACGATTCCTCTGCCGACGTCAAGCCTGCACAAGGCCAGTTTGCGACGGAGTAATAAGCACCGGCGTGGCACTATGATAGAATACGGGGCTGACGTGCAGGAGGCTTGTGTTTGAAACTCAATGTGCTCTTGGTGTTTTTCATTGACTTAGTTTTGTTTCCTTATTTCATGCGACACTCGTTATGAATACAGATGGTTTCGGACAAATGCGGTGCCTGCGACCCTTGTTGTCATACCATACCCGCTTTCGTTGTCAAATTATGCTAAAACGCTCCAAAAAAAAACGTGTATAGTAGAAGTGGTCAAGACAACGCTTACACTGGTTCGAAGAATTATGCATATTATGAACCCAATTTCCCACTAACAAAAAATTTGTCTTCAGTGTGACCGCTGCCGGGTTGTCCCAGATGAACGCTCAAAAAAGCACGTGCCTCCGAATTCGGGCGACAGCGACAATACCAGACGCCGTTCAGACGCAGTTGAAGCAAGGGTAAAGAAGAAAACTAGCATCAATGGTCTCCTCGGGCGCGTCGCCTCTCCCCATCGCAAGCATCGCTACACTTACCAACCTCCTCAAACCTTCCACCGAGCAAACCCCAGATGCTTTGAGAAAGAGAGCGGGAGAGAGTTCTCAGAAAAAACTCGCCCCTTCCAACATGTTGCCTTTTCCCCAGCTTTGGCTGCACAGCGCGCCCATGAACCTTCAAAAACGCAGGGCGAACCTTCATAAGTGAGCAGCTGTTGGCGGTGGTCAGGAAATGAAGGTAGTTTGTACCATGAATTGTGCGTAAGGCAGCAGATGAAGACAGTTTCCCACCGTCAGGCGAATTGCTTGTTCTTCAATGACCAAGCAGATGAGATGAAGAGGTTTTATACCTGCGGGTAAAAGCTTGTTACAAGCAGGAGATCAAGAGAGTTTTGCCGCCGTCAGGTGAAGTGCTTGTGTCTTCAAAGACAAAGTAGTTGAGGTAAGAGGTTTTGCAACTGCGGGTGAAGGCTTGTATTACAAGGAGGGGGGAGATTCTGTGTTTACCGCCAGTGTGCGAAGATGCATTCTGCAGTGAAAGCGCGTGAGTGGCTGACGTGTAACCGGCGAAGAAGCTTTTTTACTGGAGTGGGGATATTCGATGACGTGAGGTACCCGGAAGAGAAACATAGAGAGCAATAAAACAACAATGAGCGCTGCAATTCAAGTGAGTGGTTCGTTCAAGAGAAGCATTAAAACTTCGTTCCAAACATTTTGGACGGAATTTCTTTGACGAACATTTTAGTCGATAAGTGTCTTGGTAGGATTGCATTGTAGCGCATGTTGTTGCTTGTGTCCGCTTTTCTGAGTGTATTTTGTTAAGTAGCCTGTCGGTTTGAGTACCTCGTGATTGGTGACGTATTGTATTGTGTCATTGCCGAATATTGTTATTTATGTATTGTATGATCTGCCGTATTTGAGAGCATATTTTGTTTTTTAATCAGCTTACGACTCTGACTCCTTCTTTAGCGCACAGCCGGTGTTCGCTGGTGCGCCAAATAGGACCAGATCTAAATTGTCCGTGCTTTCATGATGCAGTTAAGACCAGTGACACCAATTTACTTATAATGTCCACATTTTTCTGTATGCTTGAACCTAATCTACAAAAGACCCCGGCTATACGTGCAAAACTACAAGGAATTTTCTCATTTTCGCTTTTGCCGCTTTAAAAGCTGAACTTCACAATGCGACAATTAGGACTATTTTCCGGGATTCCAATCGTCCAGTTATGGTTACTCTTCATTTTGGTTATTCTGCCTACGAAACTGCTAATGTACCATCTCAATGATAAAGCCGCAACATGTCCCGATGAAAACGGACCATTACACGAATAAATTCGGCAAGCTAATCAGTGAGAGCTTTCCTGTAAAAATGCCCATGATATCAGTCTGTTGTAGCAGAGAAAGCACATCCTGGAGAAGGAGTAGAACAAAACTCTCGTTTACATCTTTTTCATGCCCAAGCAAATTCGCTTTAATGTCGAAGTGAAAGTATAACGCAAGGGTCAAATCAGTTTTATTGCGATAACAATTATATGGATACTCTCGACCTCATTTGGCCACTCGCGTCAGCGTCGGCACCCTGCACCGTATATGTATACGTATCTATATATTTAAAAACGCAAGAAAGAAAAAAATGCAGAAATCAAAAAACTCCGGCGTGCGAGTCGAACACGGCACCTCCGCGTCGTGATCGCGAGGCGTTAACCACTGAGCCACCAAGAGGTTTTTCTTTTTAGTGACTGAGCCACCAAGAGGTACCCTCTTCAACGTTCAAACGGCAAGCTATTCATATCTACCGCTTACACCTGTTGGTGGGCATCTCGGGAGGGGGGAAGTATGGTGTTTTCAGCAATATCAGCAAAATGGCAGAGTGAGCGCGCAGCGGCTCTCATCTCTCACGCGTACTTTGGCCCACGTAGTAAATAGGGGGTGTACACCCGATCGCGCGCCCTTCTTGCAATGAAGAGAATCTTACGTCTAGGCAAGCCTATAAGTTTTGTCGAGACGACTCTAATGCAGTTTCTGGGCGCACAGTGGTCACAACATTTAATGCACAGCCTCATTTTGCGAAAATTTCGCGTTTTTTCGACACAGCGCCGTAACAACTGAGACACTTATTCGCGTTAATTTGTACCTTTGAGTACGTTTCGTGAGTCCTTTGTGCGTGAGAAACGCGGGGCATGTTTCGATCTGCTTATCATTCTGCGCGTGAGCTTCCAATCTGTTCCTATCGCGATCATTGCTTCGCTTTGCGTGTGGCAGCTTGGGCTAGTTGGTATGGCATGACGATAGTTATAGTGCGAGAACAAAACGACGACACAGAGACAAGAAGGACACAAAAGACTTGAGCGCTCGTGTCTTTCGTGTCCTTCTTGTCTCTGTGTCGTCGTTTTGTTCGTCTCTTTTGTGTCCTTCTTGTCTCTGTGACGTCATTTTGTTCTCGCGCTATAACTATCACTTTAGCGGCAAAGCTGTTACTTTCTGAAAAAACAATCGAAACTGTTGGAGGAAATACACAAGGTTACTCAGACCCCAGTTGCAGATCTATACGCTAGGTAGAGCGTGTACTCTTGAAAAGAGGTCAGCATATCCATAAACTCATTTCGAACAAGTGATTTGTGACAAAGAGCCTCTTTGTATGTGAAGTTAGTGAAACGCAGCTTAGCAAAACCCACTACTTAATTATTACCTGAACAGTGCTGACTCGAATGGTTAGTTCATTATCAAATGGGTAATAACTACGTTATTAGCTTATCAAGTGAGTGTGTCAAGTTTAACGTACCCCAGCTAGTCAAACAGACGTTTACGCAGACTTTGCTATATGTGCGTGTGTGTTGCCATATCAAGATAAATTAGCTAAAAGGTATAGGGTTAAAGGAGTAGCATTCTTCACGTACATTAATTATTTGCTGCTAACTACTCCATGTAACTGCCGTTGTAAGTGCGCATCACAGCAGACCACCGCAGAAAAGTGATCACCACACAGTACCCATATATGATAAGATCTTAAGAATAATTGAACCTATAACAGTGATTCACAGGCCAGAACACGCACGTAAGCGCTCGCACAGAATCTCACTTTTACATTTTCCTGTGCTGCCCTATTGCGCTTTGGTAGAGTTTCGGTAGGGGCCGGGAAAAATGGCAATGCTGGAACGAATGCCTCTGAGACCAGGAGACAGTTCACAACATTTCCGCCAGCGAAGGGCGTACGCGCTGTGGCATCGTGGAACTTCGATATAGCCCATTTATATTCTAGCAGCACCTTGAAAACTATTTATGCCGGTACTGTGGGATCATACACCGTGTACTGACTACCAGTTATATAATTTAGAAGAATAAATTATGTTTCTAGACAATATTATGTGCCCTTTATTAGCACATATGTCAATCGTCACGTTGCACGAAACTTTATTGTCGAGGTAGTCAGTACAAATAAAGTTAGCGAAGGCATTTTCTCTTGAGTGTCACCATTCCGGCAAGATATGCTGAGGCATCTGCGAAATACCTGGCAACATATGTGGCTTCGCAAGCTAAAAACCCTAATAATGCTTCCTTGGGTAGTAGGGACAAAAGTTACAAACTATACTGGCTGCTGGCTTATAAATGGATGCCATGAAGGTAGTAAAATAGGCCAAGAGAAGTTAATACATGTGTTTAAACATTGTTAAGCAAATTTCAATTTAAAATCTGGGGTCCATGTGTAATACGCTATGCTGGCATATACTTGTTGTTAAATGGGAAATGACAAAGTCACCGAATAAATTGTGGTCTTTAGTGAAACACAGGAGTGGAAGATTCATTCTGCTTATACATGCATAAAAGTGGACGAAGAAAAGAATACTTCATCGCAATGAGATCCTTAGGACTCACCACATATAGAGCTCCAATCACCACCGGCTACTACCATTTTGCCATAGCACGTCTGACGTCAATGTATCCTTGGAGTGGAGAGTCGCTTGCCACTTAAGTTTCAGCCGCATCAATATCCTTCAAATCTCCTTGTCAAGCTGAAGATCGCCGAAACGTCTCCACGGTACGCGCCACGGAACATGACATAAAAGAGGTCAGTGAAAAAAAGACGCCCGCAAAGCGAAGTGGCTTCTCCCATCACGGGTCGCGAGAGCACCAGTGTTTTCAGACACTCGTGCTACTAGCGTGTTCAGAAAAATATTGGTTACCAAATAACCACTTGACCTAATGCACTGATATTTATGGTATAACTCTCGTTTAGCGCACGAAGAGACACAAAGGAAGACAGGCCATGTATTTTCGTGTCTTCCTTTGTGTCTCTTCGTGCATCAAAACCACACTTATACCATGCATCTAAACCAACTAGCCAAAGTGTCGATTCTGTGGCGCTGTTATTTTGCAAGTTTGTTAGTGAGCACGCAAAGATCAAACCACATAACAGAAATTACGAATGCAAACTTGGCGTTATGGCCTCATTGGCTGTACTGTTTAAAAAACTGAGTGTGACCTCGGATTTCGGACGCCCGTTTGTTCTACTGAAATAAATTAATAGTGCCATAAAGTTGCAGCGTGGCCGGCACATAAAAAGTTCCCACTGAAATAGAAGTCTCTTTTCATACATCAATTAAATTTGATAAACGCTGCAAGCCACTTACGTCGATACTCCTCTGTTTGAATCACTTTCTGTCACTTTACTCCCATAATAGAAGTCGTAATCGGTGCTGTTCAGCCAGTTTTTTTCCCAGTAGATGCAGTTCCGCGGTTTAGTATCGTAAGTGGCCATCGTCAACCAGATTTTTTCTTCAGTGCTCAACATCTGTATGTGCAGAAGAAGCAAGAAAGCCATGTCCGGATATACGAAAGTAGTACCTGGTGTTGCAAGACTGAAAAAAAATCTTGTACATTATGACAGTTGCGTGAGCATTTGCAGCACAAAAGCGCAGTGTTATGGCCTTTAAGGAAGGAACTGTATTCAAGGTTTACAGCTGAAAAACTTCGGGGTTCATTTCCCTGTGGTTGGTAAAGTGGCTTTTTTGAAGCATTCACTTCCAAAACAGATAATTTAAAAGCTGTCAGACTAATTGATTAGTTTTTACATGATTAGCTCCGTTCAAGTCATTTTGATCTCTGAACGCAAGCACTCGCCTAATTCTAGATTCCAAGATCTAAGAACGCCACTTTTCCTTTTTTTGTGGTTATTTATATGAATTCTGATGTGAAGACTCACCTGCTTCTGTACGAAAATAATGACGGTGCCCCAAATTATCAATCTATAGTCATTAGAGATGTGTTAGCCCACATACCGATAGCATGATCAAGAATATAGGCCCAGTCACTGAACAAAATTTTAATGTAGTTTACACTGAAGATGATTTCTCGCTCCAAAGTTCGATGTAATTTTAATCTTTCAAGATTTATGTTGGAATAAACGCACACGGCGGATAACATTGCTAAAGATTTTTTATGAAGATATGCTGAGTAGTCTTCCTAATACCTTACCTCGGTAAATCAGAGTCACTTTTTTTGCTTTCCATTGGCCTATATGTGCACAAAAATTGTGCCTATTTCTATAAGTAACAATAGCTTGGATGTTCGCAACTTCATACTTAATTTATTCGTTAGTATAAGTTCTGAATGACTTGAACAGATTGGCTTAAGCAGTTATCGGTATACTCAGATTATATTAACATTGTAAGTTGTTGTCGTCATGGTTTTTGGGGAGCAGAACTCGACCGGAACTGAGCTGGTTGTGTTGACTGATCACCTTTCATGTGCCTTAAACCTTAAACTAATGCAAAAAAGTAGACATATTATTCGTTGACAATGCCAAAGCATTTGATAAAGTTTCTCACTCTAAACTCCTTTTAGGAATTGATAAAACTTTCTAAAATTCGTTGATCAGTATATCATAATCAGAAAGGTTTTAAATGCGAAGCATTTATTAGTGAACTTCGACCACTTTTGAGCGTACATATCTATCTAGCAGCTTACGTTTGGGTGCATTCGTTGTCACCCCCTAAATTTGGCGTGAACAAAAATAAGCGCGGAAGGGTAAGATCGTTTGATGATTATGACGCGCTAGTCAAGACATGAATAATGTCATAATCTTGTCGAGTACATCGTCAAATACTTCCCGCAAAACAGCGACACACTGCTAATGGGCGGGTATGCGCCGCTGGTATGCAGGTATGTGCCACAGGTGATTCACAATTTGTATCAACCCAGGTACGACGACAACCTACATGGGCAATTTTAACGCGTGGGCGTGAAGAAATACCCGACATTGGTAGCGTCGACCCGACAAATGCACAGAATAAATGTCGGGGTCCCAGCTGTCAAACTAAAGCATTCTGCGTGGCATTATACTACAGAGGTATGTTGGGTCCTGGAACTACTTTTCAAATAGACACTTATTTTCGTCAAATGCCAATAGTAGTTGCAGTAGTACCTACCCAATCCAACAAACATTACATACGTACTACTTTGATGCAGCCGTCACGTCGGGTTAACGTCAATTGCGGTTAGTTCCAATGTGCTGAAGCTGACGTATGTAGCAGTGTGCAGCGCCTGCATACTATCGAGCCTCGGTGCTTCATATCAGCTTCTGGTGTTGCTAATACGCATGTTACAGTTGGCATCGTTGTGCAAGTGCAAACAACTAAATATATAATAACATCTGCAACTCTTCAACATATGTCTAGCGTGCAACATTTGTACTTATAATTAGCGTCATTGCATGACGTGTCGCTCAATAAAAAAATTGCGACGCGGTCGATAACCTCCCCTCCGCATGCGTCTCATAACGTTGATTCCAAGGTACGTGAAATCTGCTGAATTTATAATAGCGATTGCTCTTATATGGACACTCTCGGCTAGATTTTACAGTCGGTAAACTACCATGTTTTCAGCATAATCAGCAAGATGGCGCAATGAATGCGCTGCGGCTTTCATCTTTCACGCGTACTTTGACCCGTGGAGAGAAGTGGACTGGACGATCTCTCGCGCGCCTTTATCTCTCAGTCGGGAGGATTATACGTATTGATTGGAATTGGCTTTACACTGGAACGATTCTGTTGTACTTATGGGGCGCGCAAAGGTGACTGCAATCGTTGCACAGCTTTCAATTGCGAAAACGGCGTGCTTTTCAGGCGCAGCGAAATGACAACTGAGACGCTTATTCACGTTCATCTATACATGTGAGCTCGTTTCGTACAGCGTTTGTGTGCGTGAGAAACACGGGACACGTTTCTACCTGCTTGCAATTATGAACGTGACATTGTTATTTGTTTCTATCACGTTCGTTGCTTCTTCGCTTCGTCGCTTCGTCTTTGCGGCAAAGCTGTGACTTTTTTTTATTATCAAACGAAATTGTTCGGGGTCTGTCAGGCAAAAAGCTGTATCAAACAGCTTGAATGTGGCTGAACGCCCTTATATAGCAGTGATAACCTCAAAATTAACATACATGCATACATTTTTTCAGTATATACTAAGAACAAAATTCGCATTTTTAAAGGAATTGAAAAAAAAGGAACATTTAGCTTTAATTTTACCGCTTTATTTCTACCACATGGAAAGTAATGCTATGATCCTTCTTTTTTCTCTGAAAGACCTCCAGGTAATGTAATGTATACGCTGCCCATTTCAATTTTAATTATTGATATGGCCAACAATATTACAGTTCGCATTCGGTTGTGCGCAGATGGCTTTGCCCTATTTAAAACGCCAGGCCTGAGCTGAATGCGGAGCAAAGTCAAAGTGAAAGGTAGAACAGCCGCCTTTCGGAGCCTTTCTAAGCACTGTTTGGCAACTGCTACAAACATACTTGCTGGGCACCACTACACCATATAAAATCATACTTTCTAGGTAGTAGGCCAGCATTCACTACGCCATCTTTCGTCATTCTTCAGAGAAGCGTCATATGAGCTAAACAGTTGCAAAAGATTTTGTGCTGATTATTCATGCAGTGGCTGAGGACGATGAGGAATTATGCCTGAAGTTGGCATGCGCCACAGTTAATAGGTGACGAAGAACAAGCTTTTGTAATCGGTTGAAGCGTTGGATGGCTCATTCAATACGATATTCGCAATGTGTAACGTTTGGTTGTTCCTCTGCTGTTCTAAAACGCTTTATTACTGTTATAGCTGCTATTCCTTTCTGATATCAAGCCAGCCTAGACAAGTTTTTATACAAGACCCTATGTGCATGTACCGGCCTGCCTCAGAGGTAGCATACGGGGCTGCCACGCAGTGGGCCCAGGTTCGGACCCCACTGTGGGCTTCCTTGGCCCTATATCTATTATAATCCTTGGCCACATATATTGCTTGGCCTTGGCCCTATATCTCACGAACCACTTGTATCACCCCTTGGTACGACCTGCATGAAGCCGTGATCGCTCTGAACTCACAATGCAATTAAATTATCGTAATGGAAGGTTGCTTAGTATAGCCCCACCATAGTTGTCTAGTGGCTAAGGTACTCGGCTGCGGACCCGCAGGTCGTGAGATTGAATTCCGGCTGCGGCGGCTGCATTTCCGATGGAGGCAGTAAATTTATAGGCCCGTGTGCTTAGATTGGGTGAACGTCAAAAAACCGCTGGTAGTTGAAATTTCCGGAGCCCTCCACTACGGTGTCTCTCATAATTATATCGGGGTTTTGGGAGGTTGAACCCCACAAATCAATCAAGGTTGCTTAATAAGCGCGTGTAATATGAGCCGGCTAATCTTATTTGTAACACGGCTTCAAACAAACCCACTAGCAAACATCGTTATGTCCACCAGTTGCATTGCCAAGATACAAAGGAAACAAACACATTAGATCAGGCATGCACATTAACAAACGATATATAGAGGCGTCGGCGTTTTCTTACGTGTTCCTATCGGCCACTTCATAATGAGATCTAACTTTAGAAGCACGGATATTTAGATGAGTTTGTACTGAACCACATTAGCATTTAAGAGTGCGAACTGTATTTTTAAAAGAGAGCGCTTGTGTGTTCTGTCCATTGTATCTTGTATGTTTAATCCTCTTAAATATCAACAGAAATCTGACTTCGTGATAACATCACATGGAATACTGAATGGTCCTCAGAGCAGGTGGGGAAGTTTGGTTTTAGTGTCTTATTATGGCGATAAAACGCGTTTGATAAAAAAGTCTCAGCTCTGCCGCAAAGGCGAAGTGATGAGCGCAATAGCAACAAAATGAGAGGTCAGGCGCAGAATGAAAAGCTGATCAAAACGTGCTTCGCGTTTCTCACGCACAAATGACGTACCAGACGTACTTACAGGTAGAGATGCACGCGAATGAGCGTCTCAATTGTTACTTCGCTGTGTCTGAAAAGAGCACCCTTTTCGGAAACGGAGACTGCAATGATTGCAGTGACTTTTGTGCGCCTGGTAACTCCAAAATAAATGTTCCAGGTAAAGCCCCAGGTCCGCCAAGACATATGATGCTCCCTGCAAAACAAAGGCACGCGAGGGAGCGTCACCCGCCTTCTCTAAGCGGGGCAAATTACGCATGGGAAATTAGAGCGTGCGCCGTCGCGCGATGTAGCGACGTGCGCTCATTGCGTAATCTTGATGGTAATGCTGAAAACGCGATTATTCTCCTCGAGTCCCATTAGCATAAGTAAGTGATAGATATCATTAGCCCACCGTTTAAACAGTGAAGGATGCGCTCCGGGGTGGCTCAGTGGTTAACACCTCGCATTTATGGCGCAGAGGTTCCACGTTCGATTCCGCGCACTTGAGTCTTTTTCTGGATTTTTGTCTCTGTTGCGTTTCCGTATATACGTATATACGACAACAGACACGACAACGT